GGGCCATTTCTGGGGAGTTTGGGGCCCGTTTCGGGCCCGTTTAGGGATGAAATTTTTTCAGGAAAAATAATTTTTTTGGGGAATTTCGGGAATTTTTGTGAATCCCACAGTGACCACGGGATCATCCGCACCCTGGACCTGCCCATCTACGTGACGAGGGTGAAAGGGAACAACGTTTACTGCCTGGACCGCGAGTGCCGACCCCGCGTGCTGACCATCGACCCCACCGAGTTCCGCTTCAAACTCGCCCTCATCAACCGCAAATACGACGAGGTGAGAGGGAAATCCTAAAAAAACCCCAAAAGGGCAAATCCCAAAAGATTTGGGATGGTTTTGGGGTGATTTGGGATGGATTTGGGATGGTTTGGTGTGGGTTAGAGGGGATTTTGGGGTTATTTGGGGTCCTTTATGGACCATCGACCCCACTGAGTTCCGCTTCAAACTCGCCCTCATCAACCGCAAATACGACGAGGTGAGAAAAAAAAAACCCAAAAGGGACAACCCTAAAAGGGTTTGGGATGGGTTTGGGGTGATTTGGGATGGATTTGGGATGGTTTGGTGTGGGTTAGAGGGGATTTTGGGGTTATTTGGGGTCCTTTATGGACCATCGACCCCACCAAGTTCCGCTTCAAACTCACCCTCATCAACCGCAAATACGACGAGGTGACAGGAAAATCCTAAAAGAGCTGATCCTAAAAGGGTTTGGGGTGATTTGAGAGGGTTTTGGGATGGTTTGGGATAGTTTTGGGGGAGTTTGGGATGATTTCAGGATATTTTTAGGATATTTTTGGGGTATTTTGCAGGTCCTGCACATGGTGAGGAACGCCAAGCTGGTGGGACAGTTCCTGGGATATTTCTGTGATATTTTTGGGGCAGTTTTTGTGATATTTTTAGGATATTTTCAGGATATTTTCAGGATATTTTTAGGATATTTTTGGGATATTTTCGGGGTATTTTTCAGGTCCTGCACATGGTGAGGAACGCCAAGCTGGTGGGGCAGTTTTTGTGATATTCTCAGTATATTTTTAGGATATTTTCAGGATGTTTTTGGGATATTTTGGCAGGTCCTGCACATGGTGAGGAACGCCAAGCTGGTGGGGCAGTTCCTGGGGTATTCTGAGGATATTTTCAGGATATTTTTAGGATATTTTTGGGATATTTTCAGGATATTTTTGGGATATTTTTCAGGTCCTGCACATGGTGAGGAACGCCAAGCTGGTGGGGCAGTTTTTGTGATAGTCTCAGGATATTTTCAGGATATTTTTGGGATATTTCTGGGATATTTTGCAGGTTTTACACATGGTGAGGAACGCCAAGCTGGTGGGCCAGTCCATCATCGCGTACCTGCAGAAGAAGGGCTACCCCGAGGTCGCTCTGCATTTCGTCAAGGACGAGAAAACGCGCTTCGGGCTGGCGCTGGAGTGCGGCAACATAGAGGTAACACCAAAAAACGGGAATTTTGGGCATTTTGGGGGGATTTCAGAACCTTTTTTGGGATTTTGGGACCTTCATTTTGGGCGGTTTCAGCAATTTCGTTTCAGGAAATTCAAGGATGTTGCAGAAAGAAGTTTTGGGATGTTTTGGGCCCGTTTTGGGAAGAAGTTTATGGGATATTCTGGAAAATTCTGGGTCTTTCTGTGAACTTCACGTTGGGGACATTTTGTGCCATTTCTTAGCCATTTTTAGCCATTTTTAAGCCCGTTTTGGTCATTTCTGGCCCATTTTGAGCCATTTCTGATCCATTCTGCTCCACCCTTCAATCCTCCCATTCCATAATTTCTCCCAAATTCCCAAATTTTGTCCCAGATCGCCCTGGAAGCAGCCAAGGCTCTGGATGACAAGGGCTGCTGGCAGAAGCTGCCTTGGATGAGCCATTTTTAGCCGTTTTTGGCCATTTCTGAGCCGTTTTTGCGCCGATTTTTTCCCGTTTTTGCTCCGATTTTTCCCGTTTTTTATCCCAATTCCCAATTTTTTTCCCAGATTGCCCTGGAAGCTGCCAAGGCTCTGGATGACAAGGGCTGCTGGCAGAAGCTGCTGTGGATGGGCCGTTTCTGGGCCATTTCTGAGCCGTTTTTGCCCATTTTTTCTCCGATTTTGCCCATTTCTGCTCCGATTTTGCCCATTTCTGCTCCGATTTTGCCCATTTTTGCTCTGATTTTTCCCGTTTTTGATCCCAATTCCCATTTTTTTTCCCAGATTGCCCTGGAGGCTGCCAAGGCTCTGGATGACAAGGGCTGCTGGCAGAAGCTGCCGTGGATGGGCCATTTTTAGCCGTTTTTTGCCCATTTTTGCTCCAATTTCACCCATTTTTTCTCTGATTTTGCCCATTTCTGCTCCAATTTTTCCCGGTTTTGATCCCTGACCTTTCCCAATTCCCAATTTTTTTTCCCAGATTGCCCTGGAAGCTGCCAAGGCTCTGGATGACAAGGGCTGCTGGCAGAAGCTGCCTCAGATGAGCCATTTCTGAGCCGTTTTTGGTCATTTCTGAGCCGTTTTTGCTCCAATTTCTCCCATTTTCGCTCCGATTTTTCCCATTTTTGCTCCGATTTTTCCCGTTTTTGATCCCAAATCCCAATTTTTTTTCCCAGATTGCCCTGGAAGCAGCCAAGGCTCTGGATGACAAGGGCTGCTGGCAGAAGCTGGGAGCTGCAGCGCTGCTCCAGGGGAACCCACAGGTGGTGGAAATGTGTTACCAACGCACCAAGAGCTTCGAGCGCCTCGCATTCCTCTACCTGCTGACAGGAAACCTGGAGAAACTCAGGAAGATGATGAAAATCGGTGAGAGAGGGGGGAAAATCCCGGAAAAATCTGGGAAAAATTGGGGAAAAATCCGGGAAAAATCCGGGAAAAATCCGGGAAAAATTCGGGAAAGGTCTGGGGAAAATCGGGGAAAAGGGTGGCAAAGGTTGGGGAAAATCTGGGGAATGGTTGGAAAAATCTGGGAAAAACTGGGGAAAAGGCTGTGAAAAATCTGGAAAAAACCCTGGAAAGATCTGGGATGAAGGGTGGGAAATGGTGCCAGAAATGATGGGGATCAGTGAGATCAGGGAACCTGGAGAAACTCAGGAAGATGATGAAGATCGGTGAGAGAAAGGGAAGGGTGGGAAAAATCCAGGAAAAATCTCTATTTCCAACCCCATTTTCTCCATTTCTGACCCCATTTTCTCCGTTCCTGACCCCATTTCCAGGCTCTCCGGGTTCGTTTCTGGGCTCTCCGGGTTGTAATTCCCATTTTTCGTGTTCCCAACCCCATTTTCTCCATTCCCGACCCCGTTTCCATGCTCTCCGTGTTGTAATTCCCGTTTTTGGGGTTTCTGACCCCATTTTCCCCATTTCTGACCCCATTTTCTCCATTCCTGACCCTGTTCCCGGGCTCTCCGGGTTGTAATTCCCGTTTTTTCCATTCCCGACTCCATTCCCGTGCTCTCCATGTTGCAATTCCCGTTTTTTCCATTTCTGACCCCATTTTTTTGGTTTTTGACCCCATTTTCTCCATTCCTGATCCCATTTCTGGGCTCTCCGGTTTCTAATTCCCGTTTTTGGGGTTTCTGACCCCATTTTCTCCATTCCCAACCCCATTCCCGGGCTCTCCATGTTGTAATTCCCGTTTTTTTGGTTCCTGACCCCATTTCCGAGCTCTCTGGGTTGTAATTCCCATTTTTGGGGTTTCAGACCCCATTTTCTCCATTTCTGACCCCATTTCAGGGCTCTCCGGGTTGTAATTCCCGTTTTTGGGGTTTCTGACCCCATTTTCTCCATTTCCGACCCCATTTTCTCCATTCCTCACCCCATTTCCTGCCTCTCCTTGTTCTAATTCCCATTTTCCCCATTTCTGACCCCATTTTCTCCATTCCTCACCCCATTTCCTGTCTCTCTGTGTTGTAATTCCCGTTTTCTCCATTCCTGACCCCATTTTCCCCATTTCTGACCCCATTTTCTCCATTTCTGACCCCATTCCCATGCTCTCCATGTTGTAATTCCCGTTTTCTCCGTTTCTGACCCCATTCCCATGCTCTCCATGTTGTAATTCCCGTTTTTGGGGTTTCTGACCCCATTTTCCTCATTTCTGACCCCATTTTTTCCGTTTCTGACCCCATTCCCGTGCTCTCCGGGTTGAAATTCCCGTTTTTGGTGTTCCCAACCCCATTTTTGGGGTTTCCAGCCCCATTTTCTGCATTTCTGACCCCATTTTCTCCATTCCCGACCCCATTTCCATGCTCTCCGTGCTCTAATTCCCGTTTTTTTTCCGGAGCAGCCGAGATCCGGAAGGACATGAGCGGTCACTACCAGAACGCGCTGTACCTGGGGGACGTGGCCGAGCGCGTCCGGATCCTGCGCAACTGCGGCCAGAGTGAGTCTGGGATTTGGGAATTCTGATCCCAATTTGGGAATTCTGATCCCAATT